TTCATCAAGTACCACCTCAGAAAAAAATTGTCTCTCCAAGTACCACCAAAATGAGAAGTATTGAAGTACAGTAGCGCAGTTCGCCCAGTAAAGCAGCTCCAACTCTACACAATTAAAATATGTGGCAGATTACATCAGAAATCAGCCTGATCTCACGAGAAAACGTAAGTATTTTACGTTTTGCCAGTTTAGTGGCTAATTCGAGTTCAGTCGTACGAAATGGTGCGATTTTAAAAAGGAGGCGTGGCACCTGACCCCACCCCTAACCCCAACCGTCATTGGGGGTTACTAAATTGTACGAATTAGATCGTACGAATACGAATTAGCCACTAAATGAAAAAGTTACGAATTGCCGTGAGATTGTGTTGATATAGGCTATATGTCATATTATATACATCATTTTTGATAAATTTTGAAATGTGTGTAGCATGTACATGACATATTTCATTCCTCCGCGTACCACTAGAAGGAAGCCTGCGTACCACTAATGGTACACGTACCACAGTTTGAGAACCACTGCTTTAGAGAACAGCCAGTACTGATCGCATTGGTGTTATCGTACGCATCAAATGATTCAAATTGTATTAATTTTTTCTTTTGTCACTCAGTGATTCCTCCGCGTACCACTCGAAGTAAGCCTGCGTACCACTAGTGGTACACGTACAACAGTTTGAGAACCACTGTTCTAGATAAAGTAGAAGAACGGATAACATTTGAGGGGAAAGTGCTTCAAATCCGCTATGCTCACGAATCACGAACTGGATTGTCACATAAAATTATAATCTAGTCTAAATAAAATTAAAGTGAAATAATTAGTTTTAGAGATGCTGTTATAACACTGTTGCGTCGTTCAACTACAATTTAATTCATTTAATCAAATAAAGGGCGAGGCAGTGGCGCAGTGGGTAGCACGTTCGCCTCACAGCAAGAAGGTCGCTGGTTCGAACCTCGGCTCAGTTGGCGTTTCTGTGTGGAGTTTGCATGTTCTCCCTGCATTCGCGTGGGTTTCCTCCGGGTGCTCCGGTTTCCCCACAGTCCAAAGCGGTACAGGTGAATTGGGTAAGCTAAATTGTCCGTAGTGTATGAGTGTGTGTGTGTGGATGTTTCAGCTGGAAGGGCATCCGCTGCGTAAAAGCTTGCTGGATAAGTTGATGGTTCATTCTGCTGTGGCGACGCCGGATTAATAAAGGGATTAAGCCGACAAGAAAATGAATGAATGAATAACCAAATAATTAGAATGAGCAGGTTAGGCGTTTACCAATTCGCATATAGCATATATTCGCAACAGCACTGAATTTGTTGCCACATTACCTCAGTGGAACAAACTCGGTTGGAAGGGTGAGAAAACTCAGAAGCTGGTTGTGAGAGTGGAGATGTCGGCTTATTTATGGCAGTTTGTCAGATACAATTGTTAAAAACAGCTTGAGCGGCAGCCGTACCATGCGAGGAGGCCGCGCAGCAGCTGGATCTGATCTGTCTGATGAAAGAGACGGTTTCCCCGGCTCAGGTGCTGATGAGACTGCAGTCTTCACCCTGTGTGGGGGATCAGTATTTGTCTTAGTAGTTTTGGACCTTTTGGCAAATGTCTCAATGAAGTTTAGCTGTTTTAAAGAGTGTTTACTCATTTTGAACCTTGTTTTAAACAATCGCTATCTGAATGGTAATTTTTAGGTGCAGAAAAACGCCAAAACTAAAGCCAATATATTTCTTTACCCATCTCCCACCATGACAGTACATACACACTTAAAACACACAAACGCACACCTTTATTTGTTGTCATTCTTTCTTCCTTTATCAATATATCGAAGTGTGTAGTGTTTAATAATCAATTTAAATGATGTAATAAATAAATAGAAAAGCGGCATTAGCTTGCGCTCTCTCATGGTAGGTACGCACAGTGCATACAGTCGTACGGCTGCAGGCACCTCTGGTGGCACATGTGTTAGGATTGTTTAGGTTCACTGAGTCACTCAAATCAATTGTGTGTTGTAATCTATCAGCATTAAGTGACCACAGGTGTTGAAATCCACATAAAATAGAGGGTGCCCAAACTTTTGCACAGCCTATATTTCAGTTTCAGCTTCAAGCTCAATACTGCTACACTACGCATTTCTGTCTGTAAAACATGACAGAGTGTGGCTTTCTCTAGAAACACAATGGCATTTCACTGTGATTTCACTGTCAACACACTCAACTACACACACAAACACATACACAAAAGTACACAAAGCAGCTGGTGTTTGTTGTGTGTTTATTCTTATTATTATTAATAGCATAGTATTGCACATCATACAATCGTTTGTAGTGTTTAAAAGTGAAGATTCGTTTTAGTGAATCGGTTCATTCAGAAGTGATTCAAATTGATTCTGTGTTGAAGCGGCTGCTGTTTGCTGTCTGTGTGTGTGTGTGTGTGTGTGTGTGTGTGTGTGTGTGTGTGTGTGTGTGTGTGTGTGTGTGTGTGTGTGTGTGTGTGTGTGTGTGTGTGTGTGTGTGTGTGTGT